TGTGTGTGTAGGTGTGTGTTTGTGTGTGTGAAGAGGGGGATTGTTGGACCAACTTGCTGTTGATTCAGCAGTCAGTGGCCCACTGAGGGGATTTACCGTTCTTTCTGTGATGGGGGGGGGGGGGGGGCGGCGGAGCCAAAAGGCAGGATGCTGCTGGTCCTGACCCCCTGGGGGGGGCTACGTCTCCACACAACTACAGTTTAAAAGAGCTGCACCCACACAACTGACATTTACAGAGTAAGATCTCCCTTTTTCAGAAGGATATGGGTTGTTTTTTTTACATGCCAGTCTCTAAACTATAAATCATCTATTCTAGGATTCTTTGCCAGAAGCCCATCAGAATGGAGGAGCACTGGCAGCAGATGGCTGGAGGGCTTCCAGGAAGCTCAGATCACAAAACACTCCTCAGAAAACGAGGGTAGGCCACTTTATTTGGGCTGGCCGTCACGCGGGGCAGTAGTTAGAAGTCATTGTCTGACTCATGGTTCGACATTCCCCGGCCCGGTGGAGGAGGCCGGGGGAGGCTCTGGCGGAGGAGCTGGAAGATTAGAACCAAATCCGGGATTACGGCCGCCGCCACCGCGGTACCAGCTCGAGTTGTGACTTTCTATATCGGGAAAGACGCGCCCAGCAAAAAGGACGAGAAACCTGCACAAAATGACTCTTTTTTCAAATGCAAACGTTGTCTCACTGAAGGGGTGCATATTCCCTCGCGGGCACGAGCGTGCGTTTGCCGGGAAAAGGTGAAATTAGCTGATTTAATTTTCCCTTTCCCTGGAAAAAAATCTATTTATGAGCTTTATTCGAGCGTGTATTGGAAAAGAGCAGTCTGACCTTGTGAGAAGCGAATGCTCCGTTCCCCGGAAACTCTGCGCGGCTCCTTGCTGGTGTTTTAACCCAACTCCGGCTGCTTTACGGCTCCGCCATGGTCTGCTCAGTCCACCTGCACACAACTGCGGCACGAGAGACGGAGCGCGCGCTCTTATCCGCCGCCGCCTCCACTGAACGGCAGTTCAAACGGTCCGCCGCGAGAGGCCGCCATTACCGCGAAACACGGCCGAGGACCGACACCGGGCAGCGGCGTCCGGTTCCGCTGGTCACGCTTAATCCTGGTGACCGAGCGGAGGGAAAGACCGGACCAGGCCCCCCGTAGTCAGGCAATGTCCGCATATTTCTATTTCCGCGAGGGCAGTGAATGCACCAATTAAGTACCAAAAAGGAGCTAAATTGTTGTTGTTTTTTATGTCGACGTTGTTGCTTTGACGGTAAACCTGAGGGGGGAGAGGGGGAGGGTGTGTTATTGTGGTTATTGTTATTATTATTATTGCTATTATCTGCTGCTATTGCTATTATAATAGCGAGCAGGTGTTAGAATCGGCGGATGAGCCCCTCTGTGAGGGTGTGTCCCGCCCTCTGCCTCCGTGGAGCGTCTCGTGTCTCGGTATTTTAGCCACACGGAAGCGCGAACAGCGCGTATCCCTGGGCTCCGACGATAAGCAGCTGCCGGCCTCTTATCAGCCCCGCTGGCGGCCCGCCATGGCCCCCAGAGACCCCCTGCTCTGCTCCCTGAAGGGTAAGAAGATGGGCGACGTTCAGGAGTCCTTTCAGCCGGTTCTTCTTGACTTATTTCTCTCCCAAAACATCAAACTGTCGCTCTGGTTTTCATAACTGGTGTTTTTTTTTCGTGTGTTTTATTTGAATTTGAATTTGAATCAACACCCGTGACCCCATTCGCTGTGTGTCTTGTTGCGTTTAGTGTCGAGGAGCGAAATCATGCCGACGATCCGGCACTTCCCCTCCGGGAAGTCCTGTTTTTTGTTTTCATTTTTTTAATGCATACCATAAAGCTAAATCCCATCTCCCTCCTTGCAGTGTGTGTCCAGAACCTGCGGTCAGGCGGGGGGGTGGTGACGGACTCCAGCCCCCAGCTGTCCCCCTGCTGTGAGCTCCTGGAGCTGGTCCTCCGGAAGGGGCTCCAACGTCAGTATCAAAGCAAACATTGACCTTATCTCCCGGTTTGGCAGCTTCACTTTCATCCACGTAATGCTCTTCCTCCCCTCCAGAGCCGGTTCTCAGCCTGGCACACAGAGATTACTGGCACTGTTTTGAACAACTTCCTCACCAGGACGTCTGTGGCAGGTAACTGATAAGGAACCTTTTTTTCCACCGAAGTGTCACGGCTGAGCTGGAAGTGTCGGTGCCTGTGTGTGTGCACGTGCAGGCTGTCTTCTCTGTCCCTGGCCGTGGAGCAGACCCGGGTTTGCGGGAGGCTGCTGTCGGCTCAGGGCCGGGGCCGCTACCTGCTGAGGCTGGGCCTGAGCCGCGGGGCGCTGCCGCACTTCCTGTCCCACCTGCTGCACACCCCCCGGCTGCTGGAGGTCAGACACGCTGCACAGCTCCCCACACCTCCCCCCACACTGCCCTCACCTCACCACACACTGCCCTCACCTTGTCCTCTCCCCCCCTGTGGTGCAGTGGTACAGCCCGGCCTCCTCCATCCTCAGGAACCAGGAGTACGCAGGTGAGGTCTAGGTTTTTTGTTCCATCGGTGTCCACCGAGGCCAGAAGCCGCCTCTATAATCTGCTTTTCCTCGTTTTCCAGAGCCGTTCATGTCTCTGCTGCTGGTGCTTTCTCACATGGAGTTCAAACTGGATCTGGAGGTCAGACAAAAAAAACTAGTCTCCGTGTCTGTTCTTGCACAATAACCGGACTTCATGTGTTGATTATATACTTTAATATGCCACTTATTGGTAAAATCAACTGGTGTCTAACTATGTGTTTTTCATAACTGCAGCTTTCTGGATGAGAGCTGGCTCCTACCGGTAAGAGCAGCGTGAGCTGCTGCTGTTGTCACATAACGGTACTATTCCGTGTCATTTCTGGGTCACGGTAAGAGTGTGACAGCTTTCATGTCGACAGGTGTGTGAGGTGTATGAGGTCGTGCCCTGCAGGGAGGTGGGACTGGTCCTGAGGTCGGTCCCCCGTCACCACGAATGACAGAAAAATGTTAAAAATGTTAGGTTTCAGTCTGTAAAGATCGATCCACCCCACCCCCCCAGGTATCTCAGCGGGCGAGTCTTCGTCCTGGGCCTAACGCCGGGGGGTCAGGCCCAGGTGGACGACGTCATCACTGCTGGTGACATCATCGATGACATCAACGGCGTGTCACTGAGGAATTCAAAGAGCGGACAGGTGAGGGGACCGCTGCGGCACCAGGCACGCCGTCTGGGGCTGTTATCTAACAGGGGGAACTGTTCTGTGCCCCCCCCCAGGCCGGCATGGTCCTGTCACGGCTCAAAGGCTGCCCGCTGTCCATCCGCCTGCTGAGGGCCAGGGCGCCGGACGGCACGCTGTACCGGCCCGTCGTCAAACTGCTGCAGGCGCTGAGGGCAGAGAGCCCCGGCCTGCAGCTCAGCCCCGCCCCCCCCCAGCACACGGCCGGGAGGGGCCGCAGGGACCCCGCCTCACAGTGTCTCAGAGAGGGAAGGCAAGTGTGTGTGTGTGTGTCATTTTGAAGTCACTTCCTGAGAAACCGCCCACAGACTGACCCGTCTTTCTGCAGAATTGTCTACATCCTGGAATTCCTGGGAAAAGCCGACATCGGAACGGTAACAGCCCCCCCCTCGTGTCCTGAGTTCAGTGGTTCTGAAAATGCTCTGCATGAACTGAAATGTGGTTTCACCCTCAGTTTGGAGGCAAAGAGGTGCTGCAGCATGCCATTCCCCAGGTGCTGCAGCAAAACCAGCCCAGCCAGGTAAGAGCCGGCCCCTCAGGGCCAGCAGCACCCCGCCCCCCCCTAAAGGCTGACGCCTGTTGTGTAATCCTCTAACAGGAAGTGCTTTTAGACATGAAGGAAACACATTTGACGTGTACTGAGAGAAACAGCACAACGGTAATCTTGCATTAAACCAAAGATTTCTTTAAATGTTGGTAGAAAATATTTAATTTGTCATTGTATACATTCCAGAAGCTGTTTGAGCATCATTATCCAGAGATTTCGTCTGTTGGGAGGTTTGCACAGGCAGACTACACCACGTTTGCCTTCTGTGTGGCGTAAGTAGCCCGTGTGGATAAACATCCTGCTGCCCTCTGGGGAACAAGCCCTTTAACGGCTTCCTCCAACAGAGACTCCCCGGAGACCCCCCAGTCCAGCGGCTTCTGCTGCGTGGTGCTCAGAGCCAGCAACGTTAAAGACTGTGAAGAAATCGTCTGCCGTATTGGTGAGAGACGGCCATATTTAGAGTCTGACAACTCTTAACCGCCATAACGCCACTTTCTATTTGCAGCCGCCGGCTTCAAGCACACGGAGTGGTTCGTGTGACTGACCAACACGTCTACACCCCCCGCCCCATGTTGTAAATAAACAAAGTGCAGTTACCTCACAGCATCAGTGTTTGAATACAAAACAGCACACAGCTTTCTATTCATAAAGACCTTTAATAGAAAGACATGTGACAACACTTCATAAATAGTATTAAATGTAGCTGCCAAGATTTGTTGGAGGAAAAGTAAGAGGCGACCCACAGAGGGTCTGCAATGCTCCTCATCAGAGTACAGAGGATCAACTGAGGTAGCCAATACCCTGACACTGCAGTGAGGCATACTGAAGAAACGCTGGCATTTTATCATTAACTGTAGATTTGCTAAGAAACGCTGCCCCTGGAAGATGTGAAGAATTGCTGTTCAGAACTCCACCCCTGGATAGAGCCCAACACCCACGATGACTTGAGTGAAAATACATTTAGAATGATGACTCCCATGAGGGAACCAGGTAGTACACTCCTACTACCCTTAGTGTACTCTTGTGTATGGAATGGTTGATTTTTTTGTAATCACTCTTAAAAATACAAAATCCAAAAGAGAACTTAAAAGAAATAAAAATGCTCACAAAAGGTTAAGTATGATAAATAGGGGTTATTTGTCAATGTAGCCACTGGCCATTTTAGGCCCTCTCTCCCCTTATCCTACGAGCCAGCTGGATGTCTTTGGGCATGATGGTGACACGTTTAGCGTGGATGGCACAGAGGTTGGTGTCCTCAAACAGACCCACCAGGTAAGCCTCGCTAGCCTCCTGTTGAGAGAGAAATACAAAGTAAGTCACTCAATCAACCACTAATGTAGCTTTATTGCACAATATCACTAGCTCTCCTCTCATTTTTTACCTGAAGAGCGCCAATGGCAGCACTCTGGAAACGGAGATCAGTCTTGAAGTCTTGGGCTATTTCCCTCACCAGACGCTGGAATGGAAGCTTGCGGATGAGCAGCTCTGTGGACTTCTGGTAACGACGGATCTCCCTCAGAGCCACAGTTCCTGGCCTGGGTTTTAAAATGATATCAAACATGTCAACGTTTTGAGGAAGGCAGAGAAAGGGGCAGTGGGAACTGCTGCATACCTGTAACGATGGGGCTTCTTGACGCCCCCGGTGGACGGCGCGCTCTTCCTGGCTGCCTTGGTGGCCAGCTGCTTCCTGGGAGCCTTTCCTCCGGTGGATTTACGGGCAGTCTGCTTGGTACGGGCCATCTCTTACTTTCTGGGGGCGACAAAAATCGCGTATCGTCACCAAAGTTGGGATGACCGAGAGACAAACGAGACAAAAACAAACCCCGGCTAGCTAGGCTAGGCCGCTGGTTAACGGCGCCCCTCCCCCACGGCTGCTGGAGCCACGAGAGGCGTGCGGCCTCCAGCAGCCGCCACAGCTACAGCCTCATATCAGGAGGGATCGTGCTCTCAATAAAAGCTACACGGTGTATTATGAGCCAAACAGCCACGGAAAAGAACAGTATACAAAAACTAAACTAAACTATCAGAACATTGCGAAGACGTCTTCAAACGTGCGTCCCAGTTAAATATCAACTTAAGTTAACGGCTATTTAACTTGCCATCACAACAAATGGCGCCTTAACTGGTCAGGCTTCGCTTTCCGACCTCGCCATTTTCCATTTTCGTCCGAAGTGACAACCTCGAGAATAAACGTAACCACATTTACTCCAGTTAATAATTACACATACGATACAATACTTAAACAATAGTCTGGCTTACCAGGTTTGCCAAGTCAATTCATCATAGTTACCTTTGACAAAACCGCCGACCCTTACACGCCATTGTTCTATTTTTAGCTAATGCTACCGTCAACAAGCCGACATGTTGCCAGCCATTTCTAGCTGGCAAAAATCCCTAGGAAACACACGTGTTACATTTAATTCGAAAAATTCCTATTCACATTAACCATAATAACGTGAGATTGTTACCTTTTGAGCTCAAGACGTTAGTCTGTTAAATCCAACTTGAAAAAGAACCCGCAACGAGTCCCGATGCTCGACACGATTTGAGGAGAACGTAAACCGGGCCGAGTATTAATACGTTATCTGACGTCATGCGTGAACACACTACGACCTGATTGGCTCATTATTCAAAGCGTACAAGACACAGCCAATAGGATGCTGCAGATAAAGAAAAAAAGAAACATAAAACTGAACCATTATCGTTCCTTATGTACCGGTTTTATCATATCAAACAGACAAGATTTAAAGGTTGCGCTTACTTGGTGTGTTATCTAATATTCTGAGTGACGTACACTCACAAATATTTGCGTGGCAGCAACTACACTTCATATCCCATAATTCCGTGATACAATTGCGTGTTGCTTTTCTACAACTTCCTCTTGCCTTGCGCAAGCTCACATCGTTACAGTATGCGGATTTGCAAGCTAACAAGAATAGCTAGCAAGCAAGCTAAAAACAAGCTATTTGTTGTTAGGCTTTAAACTGTAAAAATGTCTAAAACACACACGCAGCCCCCTCCATCTTCGGCAGCGACGACTACCGGGGGACCCTCTTCGTCTTCTTCGTCTTCGCCCGCAGGGGGATCGACCTCTCCTGCAACCGTGTTAAACGTACAGCCCGAGAAACCTCAACATTACACGTACGTAGCTAGTTGGCTAGCTGGATTAGCTAGCTGGGTGTACACAACCTCACGTGCAGTTTCACACACAAATCCACATTTAAATTTCCGGAGACTTAACGAATGTGTTGTAAAATGTGCGTTGTTTATAATAAACTTGACAGTGATGTATAGTGTTGATAAGCTTTTTAAATCCGATGGGTCTGGAACAAGAGGCCTAAATCAACAAACCATTTCTTGCTAGCTATGTAAAAGAGCATAGTTGTTATTGTGTAGGATGTAAATGCACTCTTATATGCTCTTTATACGCGTAGCAACACGAGGAAGCAAAACCTAGAGCGAGACAGTATGACAATGGATACTAAGATCAGATATGGGTTGTTGGAGGTGATAGTCCCTTAAAATGTATCACTTAATGCAAAAACTTTTTCTTGTTCACAAAGAAACTATGACTGGGTAGAAATGTATTCCAATTTGTTTAGAGTTGCTCTCTCTTTCAGATATCTCAAGGAGTTCAGAACTGAGCAATGCCCCCTGTTTGTACAACATAAATGTACACAACATCGGCCTTTTTCCTGTTTCCACTGGCACTTCCTGAACCAGCGGCGCCGCAGACCCATCCGCAGACGGGACGGGACCTTTAACTACAGCCCAGATGTTTACTGTACCAAATACGATGAGGGGACGGGCACCTGTCCAGATGGAGACGAGTGAGTGGAACCCAGGCTGGGTCACTAGACCTTATTCACGTCATGCTCATGTGGTGCCTGTATAAAAGATTAGGAAAATAGAAAAGAGGCGCTGCTTTGGTAATGTATTGTAAAAAATCTTTGGAAGATTTAGGATTTCTAATGATACGTATTTTTGGATGCAGTATTTTGAAAGAGTTAGCTGCTGTTTTGTTTGAGCATTTTTCAGAATTTCTGTGTCAAGCAGCTGCTTCAGCCTCTTGTCTGCTCACCATCATCAGTGTCATTTTGCAAGTCTTTTACATCCTAATCTGTGATTGTTGTCACAGATCACAAGAACCTGGTTGTGAGAGCCAGACAAAGGGCTTGAAGTGGCAGTTGGGGGTGCTCTGTGATGGGAGTATTGAGCCTCATGCATAATCATCAAGTGCAGCATTAGCATCTGTTCAACCACAGCGAGCAGAGCAGACACCTCCTGTAGACCCCAAAGAGACCTGAAAGGTTTTAAAGTCGCCTTTTAATGTGAATCAATGCCAAGCAGGAACCAAAGCAGATTATTTATCTCCTCCGTTTAGCCACTTTGTCAAAATTAGTCTTAAATAGCGTTTGTCCTCTTTAGTCGTAGATTTGTTGCACATGACTAAAACATATCTTTATTGAAGAGGTTCCATTTAAATGTTTTTTTTTGTGGTTCCTGGTTTTAGTAGGGTGCCAGACACTTGATTAGCCAGTTGGCAGAATTGGTGTGGATGAAAGCAAGTGAATACTTCTGTAAAAAATACCAAGCATTCAGTACTTCAAGCCTAAAGTGGAATGTATTTGATCTTTGGAATAATTCTCTTAAACTTCTTTGAAAACCTGATTATGTAAAAGGTGTATTTTTAGTATTTCTTCATTCGTTTTGAGTGTGAACTCTGTCTGTTTCAGATGTCCTTTTCTCCATCGAACGGCGGGTGACACGGAGCGAAGGTATCACCTCCGCTACTACAAAACTGGATCCTGCATCCATGAAACGGATGCAAAGGGCCACTGCAGCAAGAATGGTTCCCACTGTGCCTTTGCTCACGGATCGCATGACCTACGCAGCCCCGTCTATGATATTAGGTGCACAGAGATGAACTCAGACACCAAGTCGGACCGTTTTTGCTACTTGCGCTGAGTTTTACATGTGTGTTTTGTCTTTTTTTATACAGAGAAATGCAGGTGATGGAATCCCAAGGCAGCTCGGGAGCCCCTGATGGGGGTGGAGGAGATGGGCAGTCAGGACAGGCGGCAAGCACGGCCCTGATCGAGAAGATCCTGAGCGAGGAACCGCGCTGGCAAGGTAAACCTGAGCGGCCTCAGGACGCCTGTAGGTGGAAGCAGATCTCAGTGAGGCAGCGGAAAGGAGACGCCTTTTCTGAGCCGTCCTCCGGCCCGTGACTATTTGAATACAGATGGGAAAATCTGTATTCAAATAGTGTGACTCAGGAGGAAAGAGTTGCCCACTGATTGGAGGGTCAGTGGTTCAACTCTATGTTCCTCCAGACCTCAGGTCGAAGAGTCCTAAAGCTCTGAAGCCCTAGTTTCCTACTGGTGCAACCAGTGTGTGAATGTGTGTGTGGATGGTGAATGACACAGTGTGAAGCGCTTTGAGTGGTCAGCTTGAGTAGAAAAGCGCTATATAAGTGCATGTACATTCACAGATAGCAACTACGTGCTGTCCCACTACAAGACCGAGCTCTGTAAGAAACCTCCTCGCCTGTGTCGCCAAGGTTACGCCTGCCCCTACTACCACAACAGCAAGGACCGGAGACGCAGCCCCCACAAGCACAAATACAGGTGACGCTCCCTCACACACGGGTGGGGGTAGGTGGGTCCGGGTGGGTCCGGGTGGGGCCAGGTGGGGGTAGGTGGGGGTAGGTGGGCCCAGGCTGGCCCTCTGCCCGGTTAAAGTGTCCCCGTGTGTCCCCGGCGCCGCAGAGCGCTGCCCTGCCCGGCGGTGAAGCAGAGCGAGGAGTGGGGGGACCCCAGCAAATGCGAGGGCGCCGAGGGGTGCCAGTACTGCCACACCCGGACGGAGCAGCAGTTCCACCCAGAGGTGGGTGTCCGGCCGGCCCCCCCCCCGCTGCTTACGGGCAGGAGGCGCAGCCGGCCAATCGCAAGCTGCTCCTTCTTTTGCAGATTTATAAATCCACCAAGTGTAACGACATGCAGCAGAGCGGCAGCTGCCCCCGCGGACCCTTCTGTGCCTTCGCTCACGTGGAAAGGGGGTCCCCCCCCCCCCCCCGCTCTGTCCCCGCTGATCTGCTCTGTACGCCAAACATGTTTGAAAATCCCCCGCAGAACCTTTTGTTACCGAGGAGCCGTCCTTTCCCGACCCCGGCTCTCCTCCGCCCCCGAGACCTCCAGACCCCCTCCCCGGCCAGGAGGCCTCTCCGGGCCCCGGCGGGGGGCCCGGGCCCTCGTCCCTGTCAGACCCCTTCTCCCCCTCGGCCGTGTCCCGCATGGCCGAGCAGGGCCTGCTGGGGAACGTCCTGTCCCTGTGTGAGGACGTCTGCGGGGGGGCGGAGCCTCTGTCTCCCTGGGCGGGAGAAGGGGGGTACGGCAGGGCGCCGGGATTCGAGCGGGAGGATCAGGTGAGGGGCGTTTTAAGCCGCCCGCTCGGCTGGAGGGAAACCCCCCTGAGCAGCTCTCTGAACCTCTTCCAGGCCAAACACAGGAGCTTCGCCCTGGAGCCGCGCAGCCGGGAGCCCTCGTCCAATCAGAGCAAGCAGGTGAGCCGCCCAGACCCCCCCTCTTTCACAAACCCTCAGCCGGTGTCCTTCTCTTTGTGCGAACCCTCTGCGCTGTGCTCTCTGCCCTCAGGACCTGCTGGTCTTCCTGCCGGTGGGCAGCCCGTTGAGCCTCTCGTCCAGCGTCCCGTCCAGTCTGGCCGCCACGCCGCCCAGCCCCGCCGCTCTGGGGCCGCTGGGCTCCAGCATCACCTCAGGCATGAACGCCAACGCCCTCCCCTTCTACCCCACCAGTGAGACCGTGGAGTCCGTTGTCGGTACGTGAGAAGCTTTTAAAAAGCCCTTACTCCATATTTTTGACTAGGCCGCCGATATTCACAAAAAACTGCGTATCACCCGGCAGGAGAAAACAGAGATCGAGACTCCCGATCCAGTTTTTTTTAAAAGTCCGAACCCACACAAGCATTAGCATTAGCATTAGCATCTGTAACCCACAGGTCTGTGTCCTAACCATTAGGTTGTTATCAGAGTAAATCCCTGTTCAACATGAGTCTGACAACTAAGGAAGTAGATAAATAACTTTAAACTTAAGTACAAGCTGTGACAGGCTAGTATCAGATAGGAAGTGCAAAAAGCTGGATCGGGACATCCCTAATTGTGAGGGTCACACTGAAAAGCCCCCCCAGCGTGTCTGAGTTCTGCCTCTGTGTGCGGGACAGAGTCGGCCCTGGACGACCTGGACCTGAACGACTTCGGCGTGCTGGCGTTGGAGAGGAGCTTGGAGAGCAGCTCCACTCTGCCCAGCGTGGGAGTTATGCTGGGTATTTCCTTTTGAATACGTAAGGCGTGCAGCAGTTTGCACGTGTGTGTGCGAGCGCATGGTGACCAGCTTCTGTCTCCCCCCCTCCCCACAGGGGGCAGCCAGCTCCAGAGCTCCGCCCCCGTCAACATCCCGGGATCCTTCAGCAGCTCGGCTCCCTTCAGCTCGCCCTCCCCCTCCCCCCCAGTACGGCCACACGCCTCGCCCTTCTTCCCTTCTCACCTGTCGCAGCCCGGCCAATCAGAGAGCCCCTTCCTGGGCCCGTCGCACAGCTCTCTAGGTGGGTGGACCTGGACTCAACTGGTGAAAGCTGTGTTTGGAGACAGGGCAGCTTTCATTCCCATGTGTCCCTGCAGGACTGAATGGGATGAGCACAAACATCTGGGAGCACTTCCCGTCGGGCCAGGGTTCTCCGGGCACCCCCCCGGCCCTGCTGCCCGCTGGCCCCTGTGCGGAGACCTCCAGGCTGAAGCAGGAGCTGGAGGACGCCCACCGGGCGCTGAAGCAGTGGGGCCACAGCTGGAGGCACACCGCTCAGGTAGGGGTGGAGCTCACAGGCTGCTGGGCCTTAACTCCAGCTCCTGTCAGTCCGGCCCTCCTCCCGGCCCGGAGCTGACCAGCCCCGGCTCTAACGGGTCCGCTGTCCCCCCCCCCCCGCAGTCCTGGGCGGCGCTGAAGGCGGACGCGGAGGAGTCGCGGGCCAACGCGGCGCGGCTGGCCGTGGAGGCGGAGCGGGCCAGGCAGGCGGAGGAGGAGGCGCACCGGCAGCTGGGCCTGCTGCAGGAGGCGGTGGAGAGCCTACGCAGCGGAGACAACCCCCACCGGGCCCTGCACCAGCTGCAGCTGCTGCACCGCCTGCCCCTGGAGTCCGTCCTCAGTTTACAGGCCCAGCTCTGCAGCTGCCTACACGCCGTGGAACAGGTGAGGCCTCACGCCGCCACTCCGCTCAGGAGCCCTCTTCCAAACCAGGTGAATAGAAGAAAAGATCCTTGTTGGCATAGGCTCAACACACCGATAAGTAATGATGTACGCAGTAGCACGACGAGGGGTTTGTCTCCCATAATGTGCTTTGGTGCCTTGTCCCTTTGGATTAAAACTTCCAAAACTACCTTTACCTAACAGTAAGAGACATCCTTCCCAGTAAATATGGAAGGTCTCAAACTCCGGTCCTCGAGGGCCGCAGTCCTGCCGGTTTTAGATTTTTTCCTGCTTCTGCACACCTGATTCTGATTAAATTGGATCTTCTCTGGACATTGACCCCTGCTTTAGTTGGACAGCATGTTTTGGTAAACAGCAGCTAGTCTTAGCTGCTAATCTTTTCCTGCAGGTTCGACTCCAACAACTGGGATTCAGTCTGTTGTTTTGCTGTTATTCCTCATATTTTCGTGGAAACGCTGAGGCCGTTGGGGCGTGTGTGTGTGTGTGTGTGTGTGTGTGTGGGGCTGACGGCTGCCCTCCTGCGTGTCCCAGGTGGTGTACAGGAAGCAGCGGCAGAGCTGCGTGGGCTGTGGGGAGCCGGGCTCGCTGGCGCTGCCCTGCGGCCACGGCCTGCAGTGCGACGGCTGCTCCGCCTCCGCCGAGTGCCCGCTCTGCCCCCAACACACCCCCGAGCAGCTCTCCTGACCTCCCCCCGGCCCGGGACCAAACAGATTCCACACCAGTCAGTCCTGATTCCACACAAACCAGCATTTTGGATCCAGACCGCCGTCTCAACGAGGTGTAACCAGAGAGTCCTGCATCATTAGCCACACAAGCACTGATCTGGTCGTGTATCTTTTAAAAAAATATCTATAGACATGAACAGATGAATGGAAACCTTAGTGGATTAGTCACCAAGTCAAATCTGTAAGTGTGGAATTGATCATAATAATGGTTCCAGTGTTACCCCGAACACCAAGTATTTGACTAGTTTTCTCTATAAAGACCAGCTACACTGTTTAGCACTGATCTTCAAGTTTTGGAAATAACTTAAAGACCTGCTAATAGATCTACTTGGCTCTCTATCTATGAAACATAATCACTTTAAATAAGACATCAAAAGTGTAAACTCCCTCTTCTGACAACATTAGCTCTGGAGCGTATCTGGCCATCAGGATGGTTCGGTCCTGTCCACTAAATCAAACATCTCCACTTTGGATTTTTAGCTCCAGAAGGTTTAGATTTAGTTTGGCGTCAGATCATCCTGATCCAGAGTGCTGGTCATGGGTGGAGGACACAACAGATCATCAGTTTGTTTTTATAAGATGTTTATTTTTCAGGGTGATGAGCCCGCTTAAAGAAGAAGAAAAAAACCTACAGGTCACTCTGAAAAATACTTTAAGGGCATATTCAGACTCGCTCAGACAATGATCCTGTAACGCTTCTGCCAAAAAGAGCTCATCTTCTTAATGTGCTGTTAGCACCCCCCCCACCCCCCCGTCTCCAATTAGTTGTTCCATTTAGATGTTTTAGTCGAGGACATTTAAACAATTATGAAAGTTTAAAAAAAGTAATATTTGTTAGAACTTAAAACACTCAGGTTGTCTCTAATATTTCTCTGCTTAAAACTGGAGGAAAACACAATCAAGGCAAAAATAGTTGACTTTGTACAATGTTTCAGATTCCTTCATTTTCAGTTTTTTTCTCATGTCAAAAAGGGCCCTTCACTATTTTTAAAGTCAACATGGGACAGATTTTTACATTTCAGTGATACAAATGCATATAATATATATACATCATATATATTATATATGTATACTCGTAGTTAAGTGATGACATACTCATTTCCTGCACTGATTAGACAAAGCATCCGAAAGCAAACACACGTAACTGTTTCAGTCCAGGTGTGAAGGTGATGCTCACTGTGATGATCTCCTGTTAAACTCATGCTCAACATACTGTCTCAACAGCTCACGCAACACCAGTGTTTCCCTCTGAGTGCGTTTTGTTTTTCTTTGTTTTTGGTACTGATCATTAAAACAAATTGTATATTTTTGGAGCAACGTGTCTCTGCGTGTTACGACTCAATGCCCTCCTTGGACTGTTTCTCCCGCTGCCGTCTTTTCTTCACAAAGGCCTGCGCCTCCTTCTCTCCCCTCCGGGACTCCAGCAGCCTCAGGATGCTGTCGCCTGGGGGGGGGGGTGCAGAAAGCCCAGGGTTAGCTGGGTTTGGAATTCTGGGCCGAATTACAGAGATGGTTTCATACTTAGTTTAAAACCTGTGTTTGCTTCCAGTTGGATTTTGTAACCATCCCTTATTAGGCCATGGTTTCTTTTGGATTGGAACTCATTAAAGAACTAGTTGGATGTCCTCCAGAGACTAAAGGTTCTGCATGGACTGATAACCTGGCTCGTTCAGCTGGAGGACGCGCTGCCACTAGGTGGCAACAGGGCTGCTCTCTGAACGTTTTAGCAGTCAGCCGCCGGTGAATCAGAAAACCACTTTGGTTCAGTTTTTTTACAGATCAGATTGACAGAAAGGAAGCCTTCTAGCCACATCTAAATCGGGATTAGATCACCGTTAGCAACTGTGAGAACAGTGTGACTGCTGCGGAGCTGGAGAGGGTTTCCAGTTCAGGACTCACAAAAGCATAGATTTAGCTGTGAATCTAGATAAATCTATTTATAATGCAAAAAAACAACTTAAAATAAGTTGGATTCTATTGGTAGCCAGCATGTTAGCAGAGCCACTGAGGGTCGTACCGCTGGGTTTGGGGTGCGTCAGAGGCAGGCGTATCTGAGCAGGGGTGGCGTCTGGTTGGGAGCCCAGCTCTTGCCCTTTAGGTCCAGAAACCCCTGGAATGGCCTTCAGGGCCAGGAAGGCCTCCCCCTCAAAGTCATCTGCTCTCAGGGTGTCATGGTCCAGAACTGTGACCAGCAGGCAGGCCCCTGGAGCCTGGCACTGATCCAGGGAAACCATGCTGTGAGCAGAAAACAACCACATTCCAGACCCAGCAGAGCCCGTTTTCACAATGCTGCTTGGAATACAAGTCATCAGAATAAATGAAAAATTCAAACAAGCACGACTTGGAGAGGTTTGAAGGCAGGACGAGTGTTAAACGAAGAGCTTTAAGCCTTCCAGAAATTCTCTCTGTCTGGAGAAGTTTGTTAGCTCTTTCCAACATCATGGAAGCAGAAAAAGGGAAATCGACTTACAAATCGAAGGACTCGTCAAAAAGTGGATTGAGATCACAGTTTTTGATCTGAGTGCAGCGAGGCTCCACCTCAGGGAAGACGTGGTAGGGCTCCAGACACAGGTGCACGAAGGGGTCACTGAAACCTGGCAGACATCACAGCCCGTAAGGACTCAGAACCTTCCGTTCTGCCTCTGAGAGGCTGCGGGGTCCTACCGTTGGAGTCCATTGGAAGGAGGTTGACAGCATTCAGGACCTCGACGTGCAGCCTCTGGTCAGAGTGTCTGTAGGACGTCAGGAGGGTGACCGCGCCATACTTTTCTCCGCTGTACACTTTCTGTTAGGCAAAAGAAACTGTAAACTAAAAAGGGAAAAATGCAGAGCAATAGTTTTCTGAAATCTGAGACGTTTTCCGTTTTAAACTCACCTGCTCCCACATTTTCCTGTCCAGGAACTTCTCCACCAGCTGTTGGCTGCTCAGGGAGTTGTGGGTCAGGTGGGCCTTCAGCATCTGGATACATTACACATGTGGAAATGAGTTTTTTCCTCCTATATTTAGGTCCAACTTCCAGCTAACAATCTTTCACATGGAGTCACTCACTTTGTATTCGTCAGAGTGGAGGGTTTCCAGCGGAAGTCCATTTCCCTCTGCGTGGAAGCACTGTTCAAGGCACTGGAATTCACACGGGAGAGAAAAAAAAAAAAGGACTTATTAGCTAAAATTGGAATTTCATCAAAACAAAAAAATGTTTGAGAGTTTTACATAGGCGGATAAGTGAATGTAATCAACTTTTGGTAGGTTAGTTATTTCCACTAGCTTCCAGTTTTTATGCCAAGTTTTTCTAAAAATGATAAATAAAAACACAAACGTATTTGCCTAATATACATATAGTTAATTCAGGTTTACTTTATCTTAAGGTTTTCAGAAATTATGGATGTTCAGGGATTTTCTTTTTTGTTTTTTTAAGTTTTATTTAGTTTTTTTTGTAACCAGAGCTTATCATTTCAAAACAAGCAGAGAAAGGCTTCGATTGAATGACATCTTATTTATTTTGAGATTATTATTTTGTGGCGATAACAGGTTATGTACTCATTAGGCCAGTGGCGTCATTTAAGGAACACGAAAATGAAATTCTTAACTATCAAATCAGACATATATTCAGGGTTGCATACAATACGACACATGCAGTGATTGACTTAGAGTTAAGGACTTAAAAGTCTTGACAGCTACAAAACACAGTGAAATATAACAGTAAAACATTCCTTTATCTTGATCAGGATCGCCATGTGATTTCAAGTCCCCAAACCTGTCCTCTCAATTAAAATTACTGCATGCCACGATCTCTGAAAACGTAGTTATGTCGTCTCATAACGAAATAATCAACCTATGATGTTGCAGAAATGGTGTAAGGATAAATAATGTAATTACCCCCGACATGATAAAGACTTGGTTAATCGTGTTAATTTAGTGTCACTGTCAACCAGAGTTATGGGACTTTTGAACAACTGGTAAGAGTCAGTACAAAGACTATGGGCATGTAAATGTGAGTGAAGAGAAGCTCATATCTGGAGCCACCTGCAGCGTGTACAGCAGCCTCTGGCAGAACACCATCAGGCCCTCCTGCTGCGAGTGCTGGGTGGCCACCTGGTACAGGATTTTCACCGAGTTATTCCAGAGAGGAGTCAGAAGACTGGACATGAGAGCAGAAAAGCAGTCACAAAGTCATCCCAATTTTGAATACACATTTTGCTCATATTTGGTTATTTTGAACCAGAAAACAGAAACATTTTGGTCATATTTGGTTATTTTGAACCAGAAAACAGAAACATTTTGGTTATTTTGAAGCAGAAATACAGGAACAAAAGGAAACTTCTGGACATTGTGTGTGAAGTTAGCTTCAGCCTGCACCTGTTGAAGTTCTCTTGCACCAGGTTTTCATTCATGTACTGCAGCTCTTGCTCCAAATACCGCATCAGAGGGGCTGCAGCCTACAAATAGATAAGAGACTGGACATGAATCCACTTCTACAGGTGTGTATATCCATGTTTAAAACCGGCCCTCAGCATAACTTACATCTTCTGTGGATTTGGAGGGAATCCTGCGCCTGGTTGACATGCTTCTAACATGAGTCTCAATGTCTCTGTTCAGCTGAGGAGACATGGACATCATGAGGGAGGCAGTTTGTGCTTCACTCACACACACAATAACTCGTTGGTCATCCTTTTTCTGTTACGGTACCTTTTTCCCCAGGGTGTCCAGCGCTGAGCGGATCTCCCGGCTGAGGATGCTCTGGGCCTGCTGCAGCTGGGAGGGCAGCGTGTTGTGGAACTGATTCTCCCCGATCACATTCTGGGTCCGATCCCGAAGCCCCGCCCAGTTCAGCTGCGTGGGAAGCCGGGTCAGAACCGAGCGCAGGTGCTCCAGGTCGTTCACGACCACGCACAACTGGGGAGGGACGACACGCTCAGACACCTGCCTCAACCACTACACCGGCAGGACTTGGTATTTTCTGAAGTGTGAATTCACCATGTTAATGGCGCTGCCGTGGTCCGAGTTCTCCGACAGCACCCTGACCCTGTCCTTCAGGAGGTGGCAGTAGCTGACCACGATCTTACACACGTCCTGAACGCACGGAACACAGCTCAGCCTCCCCACACACACCGATCGACCTGTGACCACGTACTGCCGGCAGACCCTTTTACCTCGGTGAGTTTGACCATGAGCATGAAGGCCTCCTCGGGGTCGGGCCAGGACAGCTGTTCCCACAGCTGGCAGATGGGCTGGACACATGCAACCAGGTCCACCGCTGAGGAGCTGTGTTTGATGGGCACGGCACCGATCTGTAGAGGCTGGAGCTGAGAGGGACACCGTTTGAGGATAGGATGGTATTACTGCCGGGCCCGGGGAGGTGAGGCCTTACCTGGTCCACCTGCACAGCCCTCTCCACCCGGTCCTGTGTGGTGCTGAAGGCCTGGTTGAGCCAGTAGGGCAGAGCCTCTCTGAACCCCTCGTGGAAGTTAGTCAGCTTTAGTAATCCTCTGGAAAGAAAAAAAAACCCAAGTTCCCTCACTTTGTCATTGGTTTTGCTTTATGTGTGCTACTGTGTGCAACTTAAAAAAAAGGTCAGAACACAAAATAGAAGATAATGCAGGGATTTGCACATTTTCTAAAGCAGCATTTCATTCACAGTCTAAAAAAAAAGCATGAAAAGTTGAAAGTGAGATGCTTAACTATCTCAGGACAAATATTGGCTTACTTCAAAAAAAAGACGGAACACCTCCAAAAAGTTTAGACAGGGTCGTGTTAACAACTGTTAACATTATTAACCCGTAATAATATGTTTATATAAACCCTTAATATATATTACTGTTTATATTATTGACCCTTAACATTAATACTTTTATGTTATCAACCCATAACATTTTAGTAAGATTTTAGCAAGTTTGCAACTGTTGTCATATCGTATGGAGGGAAATGTTTTATTCTCATCTAATAGAGGTTTCTAGCTACTCATCAGTCCCGTGTTTTCTTTATTCCGTTTGTATATCGTGATGCACCAAATGTTTCCAGTTCTTTGCTGAAAATAATGTCTGGACAGAAATGTTCTTGTGGGAAACAAAGAATAAAAGTAGCCTGTAGACAATGACAAAAAAGTCCCAAACTGATGAGAAGCCGAAGTTCAAGAAATCCAGACTCAGTACAGCAGAAAAAAAAAAAAGAAAAAAAAACTGATAAGCTGTCTGCAAGCTTTACGAACGGGTCTGTTACTCATTTCTGAAGGTTTTCCATTGCTACATGGTTGACCTTCTCAAAGTTAGCAGAAGTTCTGGGTGCAATGCTTTTGGTGAGATTTAGACTAAAGCTTTTTCAGCCACAGTCTGCAGAACAACACGGCCGTTTTTCATTTGAACCAGCTTATATCTTCCACGTTTTTTCTGAATGGGAGTTGGCTGACATGATGGCTCTCATTTTGTTGGCACTTCTTTTCTAAAACGGGAATTTCACTCAACACTACAGAAAACACCGGGAAGTTCTGACTAACTGCCCCACTTTTCAGGTTTTCAGCCTTATGTTTGCCCCACCTCCTGACCTGAGCTTTGGGGTCCAGCTGAATAAGCTCTCCAACTGCCTCTCGTTCCGCTCCCAGAGAGCCTCTGCCTTAGTTTCTGGCTTCTGATTGCCTGTTCACTGACCGGTGCCATTTTACCCTTTCTGCCCTCATTTTTTACCAGATTTGCTTTTATTTGATCTTATGCTGCTACATTGGGGTAAAAAGGCTGCTGGCATCTGTTCCAGAGTCACAGGAGTATCCTCACCTCTTCTGTAAGAAAGCCTTGTCTTTGTGGATGGCCTGCAGGCTCATATAGATTGGGAACAAGCTTTTGGCTAGATTCTGCTCCATTTGTCCTTCCATTGAAGATAAGGTCTCCTTTACTTCATTCGCAAGCTACAAAGAAGTGAAGAGTTGGAATGCGGTGTGATTAGAATTGTTTTAAAACATATTTCTTTGGAGAATGAGAGATTGGTCCTAGCCGAACCAATTCACGGAGTACTTACCAACGAGTCAAACCTCTGGTAGACAACAGTGAACACGTCCACCTGGACCACACTGTTGAAATAGGGAAACAGGTTATGGAGATTTTCATGGTGACCATTTCTTTAACCTTAGCCTTCCCGTGAACTGAAACCCATACTGTTTCGCTGGCATGCAGTGTGTAGGAAATGCTAAAGTACCTGACAAACACTCGGTTCCAGACATCCTTGTTGTGTTTTATGTCTTGCTGCACCTCCAAAATCAAACTGGAGAAGGCGTTCCCGAGCTCTGTCAGGTCCTGTGTGTCAGCAAAGCACCATAATAACAAGATATCCAGCCACAAATATTACAGAGAAGCCTTAAAAGCTCAAATTTCAAGTAGTATGTTTGGGCCTCCATGATGTGATTGACCTTACCTTAGTCATTGGCTGATGCAAACCCTTTTTGATGGTAAACCATTCCTCTGTTCCGGTCTGATATAAAAGTGATGTTAGAAGTATTAAATAATTCACTTTAAACTCTGCATGCTGTGGTGTAGGACCCACTGACTGTGATGGCTGACCTGTATGGCGTCAATGACCTCGTCATGAAGATCAACATCAGCTGGGTTCAGTTTCTGAAAAGCCTGCGTCTTACAGATCTGGACCAGGATCCTGAGAAAAACAGAATAGTTACAGAACAATCTTGGCCCTTGATAAGCCCGTGCAGGCCAGCGTTTATGAGAAAGTTTGCGATGACCACCACCTGAGCAGAGTGTGTAGTTTAGGGGTAGCGTTAGGAGTTGGTGGGAAGATGTCTCTGTATTTGGACACCAGACACAAGCCGTACTGCAGGAAACCATGAAGAGAATCCCCAAGTTCCTGTTTCTAAGAAACAGAGAACAGAAGAACTCTTTCTTAACATTAATCTGTGCTGAAATCTCCTTCAATTCTCGGTTTCATCTGAATAGAGCACCAAAATGAGGCTGGTGAGAGCTTTCAGTATCACACAGATCTGACAGATCCATACGACTTTCTCACAACAGAAAAAAACTTTTGTGATATGGTAAGGTTGCTGTAATCAGATGCTCTTCTCTAAATCAACAATACAATTTAATCATTGCATGAAATAACATTTTTTTAAAAACATGATAAGGAATCAAAGCAAGTGTTCAAAAACCTGAGGTTATTTTTTATAACCTGTATTACTAAAAGTAAAATGACATGGAATCACAGTGAACTGGAGCTAATTTGAGCGTATTTGCTATTGAGAGAGCACTTAGAATATATTTTCTGAAAAGGTCGGATATTCTAAATGGAAAAAATCTGTTTAATGTTAATTAAATTACAAATACGAATATAACAAAATAAAAAAAACTCAACAGTTGCACATGTTGAAATGATGTTAGTTGGAAGCATAAAATCAACGAGGAAGTTAAGCAAACAGATACAGAACAAGACACCTAGTAAACCATCAGAGAAGAACTGAAACCAAAGCCTCTGTTAGAGAGCTGCTGCAGGGCAGATCTGTTCAGTGGTGGGAGAAACCTGCTGGTGAGGCAGCTCCTGCTGGTGCCAGTGGTACTCGATGCTGGTGAGCTGCTGCAGGAGAACAGACGAGTCCACCTCCAGGCTCTGGTACAGCCTGCTGTAAGCCACCCATTTCCTGACGGGGGGAAACACATTCACACGTTTTCGGATGAGATGGCACGCGGTGGGAGGCCCACTCTCATTTCACTTCACACATAACTGAGAAACAGGTTCGATAACATGACGCATTATGAGGCTTGGTGAACTGTGATGCCCATCTCACTGAAGCAGAAAGAGACCCTTATGTTTACAAGCATCCAACTTGCTGCCAAGTCTTCTCTTCTGAGAGACTCTGCCTCGGTAAGTGATCTTTACATCTCCTCATGTAGCTAATCTGTTGCCTAAATAACCTAAAAAGTTTGTTTGTTCAGCGGTAAAATTCAGTTTTCCAGCCTTTTTTTCCCGCTTTTCACTATTCAACTGATGTCTGGAAATGTTTACTTTGTTCCATTGTGAATAGAATTGTGATTTGTGAGGCTGGTTTTTTAAATCCTAGTTGACATTTTACTGCAAGAACAAAAATATCCAACCAGCTAGTTTTATTCTTTGTATGAAACAAAGAATAAAACTAGCCTGCCTGAAGTGTAGACAATGACAAAGATCTGTGAGATGCAAAAAGCCAGTCTGTGCTGCTCATTGAAGCAGAAAGACTGATCATACAGAGGACTTCTGTACTATCGCATGCATTGAAAAGAGAAGAAGAAGGGACTAGCTTAAGATCTTTACGCCAGGTCTTGCAGAAATGGCGACAGGTCGTTCTGTGTGGCGTAGAGCTCCAGCAGGGTCTGCGCCTCGCCGCCCAGCGCGCCCTTCCAGGGAGCCGTGCTCTGAGCGGGACACAGGACAGCCGGTCACAAAAGCCACACCCGGTGGGGGCGCTACGGAGGACCGGGGGGGGGATTCACCTGCTGCTTGGAGATGTAGGCCTGCACGAACTGCTGCAGAATCCCACAGTAGTTGATGTAGGCACTGCGACCGGCACTCAGCGTCCCGTCTCTCTGTGGGTCACACAACACACTCCCAGTCTGACCGCTGCACCCACTGACCCAAGACCGCCCGCCGTCGCTGTGCAGACCGGTTTAGGGGCTTTCTGAGAGTCTTCGGAAAGTTTTTGTTTGCACATTTTTCTACTATTTCCACCCATTTCACCCATTTAAAGCCTGAGCAGTTCCATAGGAATCTGTTACGTTTGTTAAACCACACAAATCAGACCTCTGACTCATTCAAGTATAAAAACGGCACACACATCGAGGGGTGGATCAGTGTTTTTTCTACCCACAACAGGGTCACTAGCATGGAATGAGTCCTAAATAGTCTTTTCAGTACATTGTTAGCAGTAGAGACAGCACAGACAGATTTGAAGTTGCTTTGTCTCAGTAGACTACAGCAGAACGGGTGGAAGGGGGAAATCTCTTACGGATTTGTGGGTGAACTTTAGAATGAGGTGGCACTGGCCACGGTCAGGGTAGGTCTCTGTCCGGGGCTCCAGGTTGTACCAGCTGTCTTCTGTGCAGTGGAGATCCTACGAGCATTATGACAAAAAATGAGTACGAGGCTACACACAGAGAGGATTAGAATAATCGACATAAAAAATCAGGATGTTTAATTACCTGTAGCCTCAAAACAACATGCCCCAAAAAGTCATCTGTGCCTTTTTCCTTTTTGGCGTCCTTGATCATCCTAATAAGTAAAAATAGAACAATTTGACTGCTTCCTTTGGTCCAGTTCTTTAGGGTAGCAGTAAAATAGAGACCGTAATACCTTCTTAAACTGTTAAAATTGGTTTTGATATCCTCCAGTTTCTGAGTGAGGGACACATCTTCATCTTTGTCCCTACAACAGAAGAAGCCATAAAACGAATGCAGTGAGGAAAACCTGCAGAAAGCGGGGGACAGTGTGTGTTCTCACCACATCTCAAGGTGAAAGCTGGCGCCTTCGATGTCTCCAAACTCTCTAAAAATGAGAAAAATGATGAGGAATGCTCGCTCCAGGCAGACTAATGGGAAAACAGAAGACACTTTGACTCACAGTATAAAGGTTTGGTTCCAAATTGGGTTCAGGGTCTGCTTCTTTATATCGGTTTGGTATATTTTGTCGTTCGATATGGCGTCTTTTACAACAAATTTACAGGGTTTGGCTCGTGAGCGGCGCGTCTTGACCTCCTCCTCATCTTCCAGTATGGTCAGCAGGCAGTACGGGTCACTAAAACCTATCAAATACACAGAGCCGTGACTTGATCAAGAAAGCACTTCAACCTCAAATGTTAGTCAAAAAGGGTCTCAACTTTGGAAGACACAGTCTCATTACACTCATTTGTAAATTCCTAATACACAGAGCAAATAAAACTCTGAAATTGTGTCATTATAAATGTTTCCCGGAGTGATTATTTTTCTTTATCTGTATGGTATATAAACTAAACTGGGATCCACCAGTTGCTCACTTCCACTGAGCCAATTAAATCCATGCCTTGCAAAACTGCTTGGCCTTGAGGCCTGTTCGACAAAAATGCTGTCATCTTCAAAGGTTTGAGGGGGTGAGGTGTCCAACTGCAGACACCTCCACCACTGGGTGCTGAAACTAAAGCTTATTCTCAGTTCTGCAGCAGACATTCCCCCAGAAAGTACAGATCACAACACCTTTGGGAACCAATAGAAACCTACGACTAGTTCTCCAATAGGCTCTAATAAAACGAGAACTGGTAAGAAAATGCCAAACGTTTTTTTTACATCTTTTTTTTATATACAACGTGTTCCTGATGCCAGACAAACTGATGCTCCTCAGACAGGAAACAAGAACTCACCGCTGACATCTTTTCCCAGAATTCCCTTGGCTTCCTTCACTGTGGCCATCAGACAGTATGCAGGGGCCTGTTTGGTCACACACCAGTTAGGATTAGGGTACTAACAAAGGGTTCTGAATCATAATGATTAATGTCTGCCACAGATAATGTGATTGGAAGCTAAGGTTCTATGAATTACAACCTATAAATAGATGTCGGGGTCTCTAGTGAATTCGTTGGAAAGAAATATGCTGACATTCTTTCTCACCTCTGTGCTCTGCGCTTTCTCCAGCAGGCTGCTGTGCTCTGACTCTGTCATAGCGAAAGCCTGGTAGGAAGAACCAGACGAGGCAGGCATTTCAGTCAGCCATACGTCAGCACACAAGCGGGTTTATTCGCTGGTGTGAGATGAGAAGTTTACCTCCTTAATGTACTGCTGAAGCTGGCTGGCTGTGAAGACCTCATCTGAAGATGATTTACCCATTTTATGTGCAATGGTGTACAGCAGCTCCTTATACAGTGGCTTCAGCTTTAAACAGAACACAAAGCGTAAGTATATCCTCAAATTATAAAGCAGAAAAAAATGACTGATGGTACCTCCAGCTCTTTGTGTCTCCGTGCTTTCTCCTCTGGATTTACATCCTCTTTAAAATCCTGACAAAAACAAACAGCCAGATTGTCCATGTCTCTATTTAAAGCAGCTTTGATAAGACATAATATGTGGTAAACGTGAGGCATTAAACAGTTCCTTGAGCACTGCTTACCTTCCTCAGTTTCCTGGTCAACCCAAGCTTCCGTGGATGGGCAGGTGAAACCTGGTGAGTCACAGAAAGGCCGAAAACAGAGACTGGAAATGCCTTTCCATGAACATGTTGAAAAGCCTATACTACAAGTAAAGAATTCTTCAAACAAATAGATACTGGCCATTGTCCAAGCCATATTGTAGAGCTACAGTTTTATTTGACCTTTTCACACTGACCCAAACTCATTTTCATTGAAAGTAAATTTGACATTTGGAGAAATGACTTTTTAAATCAAGATAACCATTTGTGGTTCTCATCGCTTGTCAGCAACTGACATTTCAAAGTTTTCTTTATTTGCTCTTTAAGATGTTACACTGATGAAATTACAGATTAGTTCAGAAGCACAAGACAGAGTTTACGCTGCCTGACCAAGGGACTTTAGTAAAAGTTGCAAAAATGAATATCTTACTGGTCGACTTTGGCTGTGATTACAAGTCACACACAGTCACAGTGGTCACTTCCAACCAGACTTATTTCAATTCCAAATCTCGATGTCAAATATTTTCCAAGCATCCAGAGTGAGAGAGAATAGGACTTTCTCATCTTTCCTCTAGTACAACTAGTACTTAAAAGCTTTTAGTAAAACATCTGTTCATCTTCTGGCTTTACGGGCACATTTTAAACATTCCCTGACCATGGAGATTATATCCCAATAACTGTGCTAACTACCCATTTTTCCCTTTAGATTTAGGGAGAACCTAGACTCCAGAATGAACCTTAATCAAAATGCGTAAACTGCCAACTGTTAGTTGAAAAGTGTGCACAGACATAAGTTGTACTTTGAGGATAAAAACTTTGGATTCATCATAAATCCCATAAATATATGCATTCACATGTCAATCATTCAATCTAAAAATCCGTTAGTACCTTTTGAAAGGTTTGGCAGTTTGAGACAAATATGTCCTCAAAAGAAAGAATTTTAATACTGTAGATTCACTCTTTGAACAACTACAAGTCAAACGTTACAGCTGCCAAAAGTTTGTTATTTCATCCATACACTGACAAGCAACGAATACTGCTTTGCTATATTTTGCTATACTTTGTTCTGCCTGCTATAAAGCTGCGAAAAGCTTGGGCTTTCTGTATTGATACAGTTTGAAGAACTTTTAGTGTGTGTTTCTTAGAGAAAATGTACACATCATACAGAAATATAATTTGAAAAGACGAGGTGACTGACAGCAGCCGCTGATGTTTACCTGCCTGATTCTTGGTAAGCGAGGTTCCTGCAAAACAGATGACAATAATGCTTGTTTAAATAGTAAACTGTCAAGTTATCCAAGTAAATCTGTTTGCAAATTTAAAGTGAAACACCACAGAATTTAATAACAGCGTAATTTTTGCTTCTTTTCTGATGGGGTCTGAGTGTTAGAGAAACTTCCCTATTGCTGACAATGAAATGAACTTCAAGTTAGCATTGGGGCGAAAACCCACTTAATGCAAGAACAATAAAAATCAACTGTGGACCCAAATAAGTATTCAAATTCCACAGTGCCTCATATTCAAACAGATCCAGTTAATTAGTTCATTTAAATCAAATCAAACTAAAAGTCTCAAAAGACGTGATGTGTTACGCTAAATGTGTATGAGTTGTTAAAAAATAGCAATGCATATTCCAAACAAAGATGGCTCTGGTGTAAAACTTATTTAATTGTGGATCGTTTAATCGAGGTATAAATGTAAAACTACATGATTCATGGTCACTAGGTCTGAAAATAGACCCTCAAGGCAGTGACTCAACATTTGGAGACAGTTTTAAACACTGTTGCAACTGCAGTTTAGATTCTCTGTTTTTCTTTTCCGTGGTTGGGGCGTGGGGGTGTTAACAAAATAATTAAGAGTTGCACATTTGACAGTTTGTGAAAAGTTTTTTAAAACCAGTGACATGAGATTTTAAGTTTCCTTATCCACCATGTCAGTAAACTTAATAATATCACTAACAAAGATCCACAATCAAGAACAAAGAGTACAATTGTTAAAAAGTCACTGTTGGAGGTTAGATTCTTACCTTTTCAGGAGTTGGAAGAAGATTTTCTTCTGTGTTGGTGTCCTTGCTTTGACGTGACATAATGATGCTAATAATCGATCACCAGACACTACACAAGTGAGCTGCTGTGCTCTGTATGCCAGATATAGGGAAGCTGTGTGCGTGCGATGTATTTCGATGTACTATCACCCAGCAGCCGGAAGTCATCACTTCCTGTTGAAGGTGCTAACGTCAGTGACTCTGACTTGGAGTCTTTCTTCATTCAGTGCCTAAGATGAATACAAAACGACAGATCAAACCACCTTTAAATTATTCTGCATTTGTTCTACGAATGTACTGCTGATCTTACAAAGAAAGGGGTCATAGGTGATGACACTGATTATGGTAGATTGCATGTTGTGGATGAGTGCATGTCCGTGAGTAGTCTTGCTTTTATGCCTTGGTCAGGATCTTGCAGTTACAATCATTCACAATGTTGGGGCCAGTTTTCCAAATGAGGACCAAAGTTTGGTTGTAATAAATCAAAGAAGGCTTCTGATGTTTTGCTTTTTCTTGGGGCTCAGGTGAGAACTGATGTTAGTTGTAGTTAAGTTTGAACTGTGATTAGAATGGTTTGCTTTAGCCATGCATAGAGACTGGAACTCAATGTAGGGAAACATATTTTCTGTTCATGCTTGAGGATGTGCGTGTTTTTTTTTTTTGTGTGTACTTTGACAGAAGGAGTCTCTAATTAGATAAGAATTGTATACCCACATGGAGTTCATTAGGTAGCACAAAAGAACTACAACAGTTTGAACAAACTGTAAATTTAACATCTTAATTTATTGGGCTACAAATGTGCCTTTGTCAGGACAAAACAAAGAGGCATAGGGAGATAAAGACCTCTGTTGTTTGAGCATCCACACAACAAATTTGCATCATGTGGGTATTTCTTAGACTTCACTCCCTCACTAAGAAGCATTGTTACTTTAGGAAGTGTCGCCTAAAGGTTATTTGGAAAAGATACTCTACTTTATAACAGCTTGATGACGTGTTGAAATAACACTTTTATACATTTTGAGCACTCTCCTTCTAATTCTTAATTTTTCTGTTCTTTTTGGGGGGGATCGTGTATACATTTCTATGAATGCAGCACATCACAAATGATTTTACACCATTTTACAATGAAGTTAGATAAAGTGTTTCCAAATTTTTCAAAGGAACATCAGATATGAATTTCAGTTTATGTACTACCATTGTCTGATTCGAAATACGAAGTCCCTCTAACAAAGAAAGAAAATGGTCTCTTTTTGTCTTTTGTTTTTTAATGGCCAACATAGAACATACATGAACAGCATAGAACATGGATACACACAAACACAACAACGTGGGTCTTTACAGGACATAGAACAGGTAGGTTACAATGTTAAAAACATATCGGTGTTCAAGGGATTGTTTTTCAAGAGCAGTTATAATTTGAATGGTTTTAGAATTTGAACTCAATTTTAAGGATTCTATATGTAGAGAGGATATTAAAATCTGCAAATTTGACATTTATTCTGAATATGTGGAGGTGTGGATGTAATATTTACCATAAATACAACAAATAAAAAAGAGTTAAAAAATATAAAGATTCTGCATCCGTTGAATATTGAGGACAATTACAGTCTATAAATGGAACTACGATCAAAACATGGCATTAAAAAAATGTTGACATGGAAAAAGAGTTTTTTCAGACGTTCCTGCGTGCGCGTGACGTCACCACTTGGGCGGGGCCAGACGTGCGGCGGAAGGGCAGGTGCACGCGACGCTGCCAGCAGCATTATCATAACAACCGTTGCCACCGTTAAGGGAAAAGGCCAGTTGGCTCTTATAAGGCCTGTGGAGACGTTTTCCCCAAAAAGTACTTCAGCCTTTGCCATCTTGTTGCCGTTGGGAGAAAAAAGAAGCAAAACTCGAGGACCGTCGTCATGACTCTGAACCAGAACCACTCGGAGTCCGGCGGAGTTATCATTAATAACAGTGAGAGGTATTGTTGGAGGATGTGACGCGTTCGCCAGCTCTTACCGTTAGTCAGGCCAGCCTGCATCTTATCTTATCTGCTCTTATTGGTGTCGTTGATTAACATTAATGAACCGTCCGGATGGGTTTTAATCGTCGACCCCTTACACAGCTTTTTTCCACTCTTCTACTCCGTCTGCGTGCTTTGAGGACGCAGCAGACACGGTAGAAGTAATACATCGACGAGTTTAGGCAAAAATGTGTCACGTGACTCACAACTCAACGTTTAAAGTTGCTCTTAATTGGCTCGAGATGAAGCGGCGCAGACACAGAGATGTTCCAGCCACTGTTAAACGTCAGAGAATGTTCTGGTCTCTACCGACAGAACCGGTCCGGACTAGCCGGAAAACGGCCTCCAACCCGTGATATCATCACAGCCGCCCGGCGACCGAACCCCACACCGCAATGTACCCGCAAACATTTTCTAATATTCAGTTTCTTCCACTTCCTGGAGGATAAACGGTGCTTTCTTTAGCCCCAGGCTGTAGCAGAATCTAGCCTTCCTGCTACCTGCTCTCCGGCCTGCTCTGGTGGACAAGCTTTTTGTTCAGTTTCATCCACTATTTGCAGTTTAAACGGGAAGATTATTCCAGAAAATTCGGCCGCGTAATGTTAAACCCCTCTGTCACTGCAGGCCTGCAACCTAATCCTTTTACTTCAGTAATACTCTGCATGGAGATCACTGATGAGCCAAGTTAAGCAACAGAACAGTTGCACAATAACCCAAAGATCTAAGATTCAAGCCGATGAGTCAGTGGTGAATACAGCGGGGCTGGAACCGTATACAGAGAAGGCCATTTTCCTTTGAACAGCTAAAACAGCAGTGTTGTGTCATGTTGTGTCCACCCCAGCTTGCTGATGAACCACGATAATGTGGAGCTGGTCTTCTGTGACGCCGACAGTCTCCCCGAACCCTTCAGGAAGAGCAAGAAGGGCAGCCTCTACCTGACCCCGTACCGGGTGAGTGACGGCTCAGGTGTCCGCCCGCCGGGCCGGGGCCGAACCTAAAACCCCGCCACAGCGGAGGCGCTGACCGCTGTGCTGCTGTGTCCCAGGTCATCTTCCTGGCCAAAGGGCGGGATGCCCTGCAGTCTTTCATGATGCCCTTCTACCTGATGAAGGGCTGCGAAATCAAACAGCCTGTCCTGGGGGCCAATTACATCAAGGGCTCAGTCGGGGCAGAGACTGGTGGTACGTGTGTGTGTGTGTGTGTGTGTGTGTGTTCTCTGTGCTTGAAGGCGTCTCCCTCTGTGCATGTCGGTGACTATTGTTCTTGTAGGTGGCTGGGATGGCCACGCCACCTTTAAGCTCATCTTTGCTGCTGGGGGAGCCATAGAGTTTGGCCAGTACATGATGCAGGTTGCAGCTCAGGGTAAGGTCACGTTGCAACTAAACGGAGAACTCATTTGCGTGGTATAGACCCCCCAGCCCCCCCTTGATTTCTGACTGCATCCTGTATTTCAGCATCCAGAGGACAGCCCGTGACTCCCAGCTTCGGTGGATGTCCCTTCATGGCTAACGGGGCATATGGGGCCCCACCCCCCCCCGCCAACGGGATGTGACCCCCACGCGCCCCCCCCCCCCCCCCCCCACCCCCCACCCCGGCGCTGGGGTAGAGTCCATCAAACCCTGCAGCTGCTGTGGCATCAGGTTAAAAACCGTGTCTCCAGTCGGCCATCTTTGCATCTCTGTGCTGTTGGACTGCAGGTGGATTCTTCTCCAGCCCTCCAGCATTCGACGCCTCTGCGGGTTACGTGCCCCCACCTCCTTACTCTGCTCCTCTGGGGCAGCAGCCGCCGCACCAGCCGGACCTCCCCTCCTCAGCAGCAGGTCAGACTCTTCTGCAGAGAGACTCCAACAGATAGCAAGGAATATGATTAAATTTAAAAAGAAAAAAATCCCAACAGCGATGACTCTAATTTGCTTTAGGGAGTCTAGGAATCCTTTAAAGTTTCTTCTAACTATTTATCTTATTGTTTTTGTCTAGTGGAACTATATCAAGAGTATTATTTTCTTACATCTTTTGTATTAATACCTGTACGGGGCCGTAAGGGTGTTTCAGCTTGTCTGGGTCATGGATGTTTAGCGTGGGCAGTTCTCTGGCTGGGCGTGGTGCTCTGAATACCTCAGCTGTCAGGCTGACTCCTGTTTGCTGCCATAATGGGAGCCACTTCTGTCCTGAGCGACAGACTGCGCCCCCTGGTGGAATCCTGAGGCAACAGGCAGTCACGAGCGGCTGTTTCCAGCCTTTGCTGGTCCGGTGGAGTTGACCTGTTCCAGTGATGGCTGGATGGCGTTCAGCATGTCTTAGGCGGACGTTCTTCTGCTCCTGTTTCTAATTGGGCTGAGTCATTGTGCCGGTCCAAACCCAGTTCTCCCTCTCAGCAAGGCCCGTTTGTTTTATTTCTAGAGATCAGGTCACAGCTCTTATACAGACCCTTTTCCTTTTGGGTGCCTTTAATTACTTGATCCACAAAAGAAAATAAGCATCTATCCATTTTAGCAGAAGCAGAAGGAAGGAGAAAAAGGAAAAGCCTTCTGAAAAAAAGGCTTGTTTTCAAGGAGAGAAATTCTGCTGTCAGTATCCTTAGACCGGGCTGTCGGACCCTGAACTCCCAAAACATTCAGCCACAGGGGGCTTTCTTCTGCTGAATAACAAACTCACACTGTAGCCTCGGCAGGGCTCCACTGAGGGTCCAGAGCTGACTGAGCTTTGACACGCCAGCCTGGTCAGCTCTGCCTGCTGCGCTTTAGCTGCCAGACTTAATTCATTCATGCCCTCCTCACTTCTGCCCCCCCCACCAGCGGAGGCCAAAGCGGCCGAGGCAGCGGCCAGTGCCGGCGGCGCCACTCTGCCCCCCACACACGTGTACCTGCCACAGGTGAGCGCCCCACTGACCGCTGTCTGGACACAACTGCTCCTCTCACTTATTCTGTTTGAAGTGGCACTCTCTGCTCTTTCTACAGGACAAGCCTCCTCCCTATTCCCCCCCGGAGGACAAGAAGAACCAGTAGACCTGCTGCACCCCACCCACAAACCATTCCCCCTTCTCTCATTCCATTAACTAACATCAGGAGGGTCAAATGGCTTTACAATTAAGTCAATTTCCCATTTGGGTTCTGTAACATACACTCTCTTCCTGGTTTTCCCACCTCACTGGAAGGGGCGCCACTCTCTTCATAACCACTTCTGATTTATTGGAAAACGGCAAAGAAAAAAGCTTTGATGGCAGCCTTTAATTTGTTGCTTGTTTGGTTTTGAAAAGCTGAAGTGGTGAGGATTTATGGGCTGGGTTAGTGTTTAACACCTTTGAGGGGTCCTGAGGGTCATGCCACCACCGTTAACTGTAGACGTCAGCAAAGCTGTGATGCTCGACTCCAACTTTTTATCACTGTCCAATAGATGAGACTCAAATCAAATTATGTTACTTTGCTAACCTGTTCAGATGCAAACTGAATGCAGTCTTTTATTTTTCTATTATTTTTGTGTACAGGCTTTTAATATATATATATATATATATATATACATAATTACCTTTAAAAAAAAAAAATAGAGATATTTTGTCAAAAACACTACGTGATAGGGAGGGAAAATAGCTTTTGTAAATGAGTAGATTTCAGTGGGTGGGTGGGGCGCCTTAGTCGGATGAAACGACCACAAAAATTAGAGCGGCTTTGGGCCCCAGCAGCGAATCCCTGAATCCTGGATTAGAGCAGAGAGCAAGGGTGAGCGGGGCCGGAGGAGGATTACCGCGCCAGAGCAGAGCAGCCATCCAATGCTGTCACTTCCCGTTTTGTCATCCTCCCGGAGCTTTCCAGAAAACACACACTGACCCACCAGCAGCCAGCTTCTGCTCCCATTGTCCCGACATCCATTTTCTGAGCGTTCCAGAACCTTCTGTGCTGGTGCTCCAGACTGAGCCGGCGGAGGAAGGTCTGAACCTCTGTGGTCTCCAGTCTATCTGCGATGTCTGTGGCTGATTCCTTGCACTTTTAGAATGCTATGCATCGGGCTCCTGTTCGCTCCGTCATGGCTGTATGTACGATATCATAAAGCTCTGTATGTACTTCAAACTAATTTATTGAATAATTCATGTAAAATGGCTCAAATAATAATGAAAAAAGCATGATCTCAACTGATGCACGTAGGCATTAGGTTGGATTTTAATAAACAGTTCTTGACTGATGGATGAAAACTTGTTTTTTCCACTCAGCAATACTATTGATGGCTATCAAATGTCCACATTGAAAAACACCCAGAGTGCACAAACACTTATTCCAGAGTCCGTGGGAGGAGCTGCGTCTGACCTTTGACCTCCAAAGCCAGGCAGGGAGCTGCTCCTCGTCTGTAGTCCTCGTCTTGTGCAAATCCACAACAGTTTTTCCCAAAAGAACTGATGCATGGTGCCCTGAGCCTCAAGTACCACAGTTAACAGTTATGATCAGTAAGTGCTCAGAATTTAAGTTAAGAAAAAAAGAAATGTACAAACAACCCAAAACGAACAGTGGCTGTGAACACCTCTCAGCACCACGCAGTCTGCACCCAGATATTCTAACATCTCTGTGCATCGGTGTTGACTGGTAATGCAGGATGATTATTTTAGTCCCCTCCCTTTTTAAAACCGTTTTAAAAGCGTTTTCAGCTTTTCTTCACGCTGCCGCTAAATGGGCAAGATCTCCACAAACAAATGTATCCCAGAAAACCTCTTATGCTTTCACATAAAAAGAGAGTAAAGGTTTCAGCATCCACTCCAGTTTTTAGTGCCTACGGGAGCGATAAATCCGATGAAAAGGAAAAGGAAAGCCGGTACTGACGATGCACCTCTACGTCCACTAACATCCCAAATTGACGCAGTTTTATATTTTCAGTAGTAAAATACGACCGGCACAGACCCGTGTGTAGGAGGAGTGTGGTTTTTTTTTTGTCAGGAGGGTGCCAGAGCTGAAAGGGATGCCTGGTGGCTTTCTGTGGACAGCGTCTTCTGCCACCTGAACACTGCCTCTAAAAGAATTCAGTAGTGTAAGAGGAGGCTGTCAGCTATTGTCTCATTCCTAAACCTGGGAACAAACATTTAGTCTCAATCAGCAGCGTCAAGTATTCGGCTGGAGACGAGATTAGTCTTTTTTTTCCTTGAGAGTTCGTCTTTTTTTTAAATGAAAGTGTCCACCCAAGAGGACACTTCCATTAAACAAATCCAAAAGTCTTCAGAGGTTTATGAAAGCAGAAGCAAGTAGAGGAGGACTGGAGCTGAAAAAGTCTACAGGAGTGTCTCTGTTAAAATGAAGGTAAGGGAAAAAGGATCCCGAAAAACAAAACAAAGGGGAGATGTGAGGGACATGGGTGCTGACCCTGTGCCTCTTCTTGGCTTCAGCTCAGGGGGGGCACAGGGTGATGCTGACCCCCTCTCCTATCCAGCAGGCGGGAAACAGCTCCTGGGTGAAGGCACAGTGGAAGGCGTGGAGCCTGGTCTGCCCGTCTCCGTAGTAGGTCAGCGTCCCCGCCTCGTAGTCCAGCAGCATCCCGATGCGGCCGTGGTGGGAGTGACCCCCCAGCGTCTCCCGCCGGCCGTTGTGCCAGGCACACAGCTGCTGCTCGTCCAGCTGCAGGCTCCAGGACAGCTCGTTCATGCCCACCATGCACCTCTTGCCCTTCTCCTTCCTGGGGATGGTCTCGTAGGTCACCTGGAGGGAAGCAGGGGTGTGAGTGTAGGTGCAGCTGGGATTCTCCTAGGATGACCCAGGGACAAACTACCCTGTAAAGATCTGTGAATACTTGATTATAAGAAAAACGCTCTGGTGAATTCTGAGTATAATAGGTTTGGATTTAGTCATACTCAAATGACCAAAGATATACATACAGATATAAACAGTGATTCTACTTTAAAAAAAAAAACATCTTAAACATAGTGTAACATTTCTGAAATGATCAGAACAAACATCGATGCTAATTTAATCCATCTATGACACTAATGGGTCATCATGGAGTTGACGTATTGGGACGTTTAAAGCTCTGCACCATGAGCTGTGAACCACTATAGTTATGTGGAGTGACTTTACAAGCCCAACGGGCACTACAAAGTCACACAATTTATTGTGCTGTTAGGCATTAGGCAGTGGCCACTGATAGGTCAGTCTCATCACAAGTCAAGGATGGACGATGAACCGGCTACCTCAGGCCAGGAAGATCTTATCTGTGAGGAACACCTGAGAACAAAAGGATCAGCACTTGTAACCAGAGCATTAGAGGCCCCGGCGGCTCCGTTTGGCTCCCACAGCCTCGGTGCCGTCACTATGCCGCTTTGGTAACCTATCAGAGAGAACAGGAGCTGCCCTAAAGGAAAAAGAGCTAAAATAGAAGGTTGAGGTCAGAAGTCGATAACAGGTGACTCAGCGGTTTACGGCAGAAGAGGAGAATTGAAGGAGGCAGAGAGCAGTTTTCCACCCCCACACGTGGTCCTTACCCCGAGGTAGGCCCAGGGTTTGGACACCTCCAGCTCCCAGTAGTGCCGGCCACTCTTGAAGCCCTGGAAGCAGAGCACCTGCCAGGTGTGGTCAAAGCGCGCCTCGTGGGGGAGGACTGGCCGAGGACCAGAGGTCAGGTGCTCCGCCCTGCGGTTTTCCTGGGAGAGGATCAGATGCCCATTGGCCGTGCGAGGGTCAAAGGTCAGAGAGCATCGGTCTGCAAGGAGGAATGGGATGGATTGAGGCTTAAAGCTTCCTGAGAGGCATTACACTCGACTGTGATGATATCGTTAGTGTAAAGGGCTCACAAGCACTGAGGCCTTCCTTCCCACCAGGGTGGCACGGGGCAGCCGGACTGGGAACCACGGCTAGTACTGGTCTCTTATCCTGAGGAGAGCCTGGGGAGCCACAAGCAGCAAGACAACACACTGCAGAGATGAAAACGGCTGACAAATCACTTCCTTAAAAAGACAGGAAGCCCCAACTGGCTGGCTACCATCTTTGTCCTGGCCCACGGTTGTGGTCACAGCCTTGTCCAGGTCCTCAGACACCAGCTTAAAGACTCGGGAGAGGACGTCTGTGACGCAGTTCAACCGGTCCTGCAGGCTGGGGGATACGTCCGTGGGGATTTCCTTGAAACGCGGAACCTCTATGAGCATGGATTCCTGTGAAGACACGGGGAAGGGCTTAATGAGGCAGGAGCCCAGCAAGAGTTCCCCCAACACGCCTCCTCGCTAAAGGCTAAATTCTTCCCCAGGTGGCTCCATATTTCAAGCTCAGGGGGTGGATTTTGGAGCACAGGTAGTTGGTTAGCGCGCCGCAGCAGCTAGCTTCTCCTGTCGAGATCTAACTGAGAACACCGGCGGACGTCAGTTTACATCAAAGTGTCAGACAAGCTCCTTCCACAGCCTGTTTGTGATGAGCCTCCAACAAATGGGCGGAGGTACCCACCCTGATGAGGTCGGTGTGGCAGAGGCCGTGCAGCGCTGCTATTTGGCCCTGACTCTCTCGCAGGATCTGGGAGCGCTCCTGGAGCTGGGCCAACCGCGCCTCGGCCTCTGCAATGGTCACCTCCTTCTGCTCAGCGAGGAAGAGATCTGCCGCCTCCTGCTTCTCCGCCAGGCTCTTTATCATGGTGGAGAATTTCATGTTCACCCAGGCTGAAGTCTGCTCCAGAGTCACCTGTGGAGGAGAAATGCTCCATTACACAACTGCGCTGTTAATCCCACGCCGGGGTAATTCCAAGTTCCCTTTGATTTACAGACACACCAAATAACGTGAGGCCCACCTCTGGATCTCTGATTATGATAGCAAACAAGTTCTGAGACATCGTAATCACCCCTGAAGCCTCGTTTCTGACCTAATGGTTACAGTAATCCTTATGAAGCCTGCTTTGTTTTACTTTCATATGAACACTCGCCTTAGCTTGATTGATGTTCTCCGCCAGCTCATTTATACTTTTCTGCGTCTCCTCCAGGACTTTTCCCACCTCTTTACTTTTCCTTTCCAGCTGCAGCTGAAAAGGAAACAGGTCAGTGTGAGACGGTGGGTTCTCTTCACAAAGTCACACAGAAAACTCGGACTGTGGCAGGGACTCCGTAACATGGCATTCTAAGCAACGTACCTCCTGATTTTCCCTCTCCGCCTCCAACGGGACGGTCTCGTGATTCCCACATTCTGAGTTGCAGCATTCACAGCAAACGGAGGATCTGTCCTGCCTGCAGTAGTAAACCAGAGGCTTCTTGTGCCGATCGCAGAGCAGCATGGCTCTGGCCCCGTCGCCGCTCCTGCCCACAGGATGCTGTTTGCTGCTGTTGGCAGCCTCGGTCAGCACAGACAGGGACACGTTACGCTTGAGGGCGGGCCTGGCGGAAAACTCCTCCTTGCAGATGGGGCACTGAGGCACGGTATCGAACTTGCTCTGCGAGTCCCAGTACTTGGTGATGCAGTTCTTACAGAAGGTGTGCCCGCAGGGGATGGTTACAGGGTATTTGAAGAAGTCCAGGCAGATGATACAGGTCAGGTTTGAATTCTGAGACTCCATCTTTGAAAAGAAAGCACACACCTCGGTGAAAATAGAAAATTATAAAAGAAGTTGGTCCTGGTCTGACAGATCTCAATAGTTTTTTTGATTAGTAGAAATAACCATTAAATAGTAAGCCTTGGCATTATGTAAAGGTGGAGCCAGCAGCTGGCTTCAAACACGGTGAATATGTATATATATATATATATTTCTATTTTTTCCCCCCATTTATGAGAACAAAGTGTAGGAACCAACAATGCTCGAGAGAAAACACAAGCCACCACACATTAACTCAGCCAATTGGAAAGGGAAGGCTAACTGTTAGCAACCGTTAGCTTGTATCTAAGTCATTTTATCAGCTGAGACCTTCTGCGATAACACTAGCCTCAGTATTCAGACAACACATCAGTTCGACTGTTAATTAAAGCACGTTAACTCAATCGCCATCACGATACAACACAAAGAACAAACAATAGCCATTCCTACCACCTCAGCATCCGCGCAGACAGTATCCGAACGTGCGAATACAGTGCATCGCTCCCTGATGACGACATACGCAACTAAATGATGCGTTCACGTGCCGTTTAGAATGTAATAAAAACTTTATTAACGTCATGATTCTGAAAGTTACGTTGACAAATCCGTTGCATTCAGTTAAATTGCAACTGTATTGCTACCGCTGATAAGTAGTCTAAAAATCTGTTGAAAACGAGAGGAAATAAACAACACACTGCATTTAAAGTTAAGTTACCTCCTTTGTAGAGACCAAATAATATGTAATCATTTACAATAAATAACCTAAATCTAGTAATTCGGTACTGACTGCTGCCAGTTACCCAAAGGTATAACATGTATTAATATCAGTAAAAGATAGTGTTATTTCAGCTATCACTAAATGCTTGTAACATTAGCAACCTAAACACAATTCGTTGTCAAATGAGAGATTTTCCTTTAAAAACAGCTTAAATCGCATAAAAAACGGTTCTACTACTTACTTTGATATGAGGTCCTCCTACTTCAATATTACTTTGACGATTAAGGCATACATGTGTAAATAAGTAATTGTTATTAAAATGTTTTACCAGAAATGCTTCTAACATAGCTATAGATATAGCAATTTCATCTAATGTTTCCGTTTCCGAGAAACGTGTTGTCGTTTTTTTACTCCTTCGGGCTACCGTAGCTCCTTAGGAACGATTCCAAGATGGCGCTGCGCACGGTTTGTACCACCGTGTTACGAACTGGGACAGATTTAGGGGTCAGCAAGACCAGATCGTTTGTTACAACAGGTATTGTAACAATGCTGTAGATTACACTAATATGTTGCATACATGTTGAAATTTTTAATTTGTGCTTTTCGCTTTTACTGCGTCTTGTGTTCGTGCTGTCCTCTTCAGGGGTGACAGGCATGTCACCACACTACAAAGTGACGTTTAAAAGAACGTGAAAACCATGGATTATCACGATTTGTCCTTGTTTAACAAACGAAAATGTTCTGTAATTAAACGGCTGGTATAATCATTCATCAGCTCCAACGTGAAGTAGTTTTTTTCTGCATGATATTAACATTTTTTCGTTTGGTTATGGGGCAGCAAGTGGTGACCAGGGTGTGAAGAGTCTGTTATAGCTAGGGGGTAGAGGACAGCCGATGTTCATTGCTGGTGTCTTTCCTCCGTGGCGTTTAGCTAACACACTCTGAATGCTCCAGAGCAGCCAACTGACAAAAGCCTGATTATCAGTTAATGCTCTCATGGATCTGGACACATTAAAACACTGCCTCTGTTTTTCTTACATTAACATGATCCCTTTGGTGTTGAACTGATGTTCTAATTTTTCTTTTCTTACATGACCTAAAGTCCAGATGACTTTATTATGTTCTGATAGATAAAAACTTAAAAGTGCCTATATATCATTAATCAAATAAACAGCCAATATAACATGGTTATATATGCCAAGTTTTATATTTATATTATTCATTACATAACGTGGTAACTGAAAGGTTTGCTGTGTTCTCCTTCCAAGCTCTCCTCTGCCGACGGGTGCCTCCACCAAATCCCATACCAAATGAGGATATTGACACTACGAACCTGGAGTCATTAGAGAAGTATCGCAGCTACACAAGCTACTTCAAAGAAGCCGAGAAGGCAAAGAACAGGGCTGTGTGGTGGAAAACCTACAGGAAGCATGTGGAGGGAGCCGATCCTGAGCACGGTGAGGGCGGAGGAAGCTGCCGACGGGCCCAGGAGGCGGAAGCCGCCTGGCTTTTCACGCTTTTAAAGTGTTTGGTGGTGTTTTTAAGGGGCCGACCGAGTGGACATCGGACTCCCTTACTGTCGACCCAGCAGGATCAAAGAGGTGAAGGAGAGGAGGCAGGTGATGAAGGACAACAAGAGGAATGTGGAGCTGGAGCGGGCCTCTCGCCTGCGCACCCGTAAGCTCCCTGACGGGTGGAAGCGGGGAAAGCAACCGTTTAGCTAATGTGGCTCACCGTCTCTTCTCCCCACCAGTGAAAATCCCCCTGGATAGAGTCCAGGAAACGTGGGAGAAGAGCAGCGGGCCGTTTCACATAATGAGGCTGGCAGACCACTACGGCGTCTTCAAGGATCTCTTCCCCAAAGCTTATTTCCTACCTCAGGTCACACTGCGCATCTCTTACGGCCAAGAGAACAGCGGTCAAGTGTTCTATGGAAATCAGCTGACCCCGGCTGAAGTATGTGTAATGGATAGAGGAGTTTTAAGAAATCTTCTTCCCAAAATCTTCTCTTGACTGCACCCTCTCTTCCCTTGTTAGGCAGCCTCCCCCCCCCCAGATCAGCTTTGAAGCAGAGCAGGACTCCCTGTGGACCGTCCTGCTTACCTCTCCGGGTCAGTAGTCACTGTTTCAAAAAGACAACAGCCAAGCAAACCATTTGGTTCTCTGCATTCACAGATGTCCCATCTATGTTTATTAATGCCGTGTTTCTTTCAGATGAGCATCTTCAGCATAATGAGGCAGAGTACATCCACTGGCTCGTGTAGGTGCTTTGATTCAAGCATGAATTTAGCACAAAAGTCAACATGATTCTCCAAATCTACAACAGCCATCGCAAAGCAGAATTAACTCCCGGCAGTCTGATTGGAGTGTAGGTGCTGACACGTGTCCTTCTGCAGGGGGAACATACCCGGCAGCGCTGTGCAGAAGGGAGAAGAGCTGTGCCACTACCTGCCCCCTGTCCCCGCCAGAGGAACAGGCTTCCACCGCTACATTTACATCCTCTTCAAGCAGGAGGGGGCCATCAACTTCCAGGAAGACGTTTGGCCCTCACCATGGTGAGCAGCACTTTCAACAGGCAGGCAAACGCAGCGAGGACGGGCTTGGCTAGAATGCCTTATTTTATCAAGAGGCTAGATTGCTTTTTGATTAGTCGTATTAAAATTGACCATGAAGTGTTCTGTGAAACCTTCAATTTCACTAGCAAGTCAGTGGGAGAACCTTTTAAGCCAAAATAGGACATGTTAAGCTTATTTAAACCCTGAATCTTTGTTACTTTTGGGACAAAGTAATTTAGACAACCCAAATACTTCTGATCTCTTTTAGGAAAAATAAGATTCCTGCTTTATTATATTATGAGTGCTCAACAATAAGGCATTCCCTATAGAATCACTGTTCTTTTTGTTTATCTTTAGACAGTTAAATACCCAGTTAAACATCCACGGCAGTGTGAAAGTGCAGGTCACTTTTGCTGGCACCGTCAGCACAAAAACTCATTTGTATGGTTGTGCATGTGTGGGGCTCAGATGGACGTTTGTATTTTACATCAGTGGTGTTCAGGGTGCCAAAGACTACATCAATTCCCACATTATCCAACTACTGAGCGGTTGTTTTCCATCCTCCTCAGCCGTTCCCTGGTGGATCGCACATTTAAGACGGTGGAATTCTACAGAAGGCACCAGGACCACATGACGCCTGCAGGCCTGGCCTTCTTCCAGTGCCAGTGGGACGAATCTGTCACCAAAACCTTTCACGACACACTCAGTAAGTCCCACTAATTAGGCTAAAATGTAGTAATCCGTGCACATCAAATTACCATTAGTATAGGTGTTTATGAATATAAGAGTAATTAAAAAAACATTTTAAAAAAGTATTTAAATTATCAACGTAATTTCAGCATGATCCTGTGGTCTGAGGAAGTTGTCACTCAATCGCACATTTAAATTGGAGTACAGTTGTTTTTTCTTAGGCTTTTTTTTATGTGTTGTTGCTTAAGTCTCCGTCTTTATCCTGCAGACATGAGGGAGCCAGTTTTTGAGTTCATCAGGCCTCCAGTGTACCACCCTCCACAGGTCAAATACCCCCATCGGCAGCCCCTGCGCTACCTGGATCGATACAGAGATGGAAAGGAACACACATATGGAATATACTGACCAATGCCACACATGCACAGTTGACAAACACAAAACTTGACGTCTTGTTGACGTGAATTTATGTTACCATCACAATAAACAAAGGTGTGAAAAAATGCTTATTAACCTCTTAATAACCTCTTAACCTACAACTGCATGGTTACAGGTTTGACATAGTTTTACATAATCCAGATTATATCAATTCTGAAAATCAATTACGCAAGAAAGGCAGCTGCCTAAACTAGTTCAATTATAAGGAACTAGGAAAAGCATATGCATCTATGCTTTTTCATCTGTGGACTTCCCAGGATAAAAAAAGATGAGTCCCACTGAGGCGAAGCACCAGTGGCATCAACTCCTTCACCTTTTACATTGTCTAAAAACTGGCCTTGTCTTTTCACCCCTGGTGTGAAACAGGTTTGAGAGAGGCCTAAAGGAAGGCATTGTCAAACTGTGCAAATCAACTTTGATCAGAGCGGGGGGATCTCAGGTATCGCCTTCCTGGGACTTACAATCCAACATTGTCCCTCCTTCCTTGGAAGTTTCATAGCCTTTCAAACCTTGGAACCTGTCATAAAAACTATGCCAGTGGGCACTCTTGCTTTTTATAAGATGATACCCAAACTTGTAGTTCAATTGAACTAAAGGTCAGGTTATCATCATCATCTTATAAGAAGCAAAGCCTTTAAGATGAGAGGTGAAATGTCTTTCAAGATCCAGGAAGCCTTCACTCAAGCTCGTACCATGACCTGGATGACTGAGAATCTACAGTTTTCAACACATCCGTTCAGACTCTGAGTCATTGGTAGACTCGAGTCTCCTTCTCTGGCTCCATCAAAGGCAGCCAGAAATTTGAGTGTCATGTTTGATGACCAGCTGACCATTAAAGATCATGTTGCCTCTGTTGCTT